AGCTGACCCTGGTTCAATCCCTGGCACCCAATGGGGTCCCCTTTCAGAAGCTATCCTTGAGCACAGAGTCAGGAGTAAGCTCTGAGTACCACTTGGGTGTGGTTCAAAAGTAAAAAAAAAGTTACTATACCTTTGCCATCATCAAACTACGCAAAACTCTCCATCGTTGTCTTGTCTAACTCATCTCCTCCTTCCTTCTCCCCTCCTTGCTGCTTGTCTGAAGGATGAATTAAGTGATGCCCTCACAAGGTTGAAACCCCATTTCCACTCCAGCCCTGTAGAGCTCCACATCACTCTTCCTGATGGTGTTTTTTAGATTTAACGTTATCAATGAGTTCAGTGGCCTTAAAAATAATAATCAGATTCTTTCTCCATTACCCCATGCCGTCTATGAATGCAGAGATCACATTTGATTTTGTTTCCCAGAGTGTGCCTAATGCTTGGCTTCAGATGTGGTGAATGGCAGTGTGTATTCAGTTGGTTGGGTGAAAGAATACAAACATGGTTTGGTGCTGATGGCTCTCTGTTGAGAGATATATTCTCTTGAATATATTCTTCATCTCAATTTATCTCCAATAAAGAGGAGGGATGGACATTAATCTAAATAGGTAGGCTCAGCTTTGATATGTATACCCTGAGCAGATCAGCCCTATCTTTAATATATGTTAATGCGATACTAGATAATATGCATTACTTGGTATAAATTGGCATGCCACTTTTTGGTTCTGGGAACTCTGAATTTTTTTCCATAGAAATTAATAGCACTTGCATCTCTGATTTGTGCCATTTTGGCTTACAAAGATTTAATAGAAATGAGTGATTTTCAGATAGCAGAGGAAACCTGTATACCATATAGGATGAGACATTTTAGATCAGAGATTTTAAAGTGGCGAAAATCACTGTTTAGAAAACATCCTCTCATCATCTCACTTTCAAGCAGACTTTTGGAGAAAAGGGTGGAGAAAGCAACATTCAGTTTCTCATGATTTAAACAAGGAGCAAAGACACCTGGTTTGAGAAAGGAATGTGTGTGAACTGCAAAATATTTGAAGGTTAACAGAGTCTAGATACATTTGAGAAGAAGTAGGAGAAGGCAGGCAACTATCAAACTAATTGCATTAATTTCAGAAGTGGTAAAGCTTATTGGAAGCATTCTTCAAAACCCTTCAGAAGCTAGTAATATTTTACTGTGTTTACTCCAGCTCTTAAAAGATTGCAAATGCAAATGCATGATAAAATGTGAAAATAAGTATTGGCAACTAATTGCATTCTCTGGGGAAATATAATTGAAACAAAGCATATTTGCACTGCTTTCCAATAGTTAGATGCTTGTGGCATCTGGTCAAAATAGAAGAACATTTGAAAAATCCTTTGACATAGTTGGTATTTAAAGACTAGCAATTGGCTAACATTTGCAGCTCTGTATGTTGAATATTTTGGCTCACATCCTCTGGTATTCATTCTGAAAGATTTATAATCCTTTTGGGAATATGGTCAGTGACAAGAGTAGAACTAAATCCTGAAATGTGGAAAAACTAACTTTCCCTACTATAAAACTGTTCTAAAAAAGTCCCTCAAGCTTATGAATATGTTTCCAGATTTTCAGAAAAAGCTGATGATTTACAGAATTTTTTTTCTCAAAGGAGCTACTTCTTAATGGTAAATATAGATTTTCCGTCCAGTGATTTTGAAATTGGCCTAGAGATAATCCAGAAAGAATATCAGGTCTAATCTTTGGGGCATCTGCTCTACTTATATGACTTTAAATGGCATTTTTGGATATAAAAAGTAAAACAAAACACAAAATTTGGAAATAGTCTAGAAGAAGAAAAAAATAAGAGACCTTGATATGACATAGGAAGTCATTTTGGATTGTACATAAAAATAAAATTGTTATCAAAGGAAATGTAACACAAAAGTAATGAAGAAAAGTCTTAGTCACATATAGTAGAAAAAAATCAGAACAGTGCACATGCCTTTTAGAGAGTTAGATATGGGATGCGGAAGACTCTGGAACATGGCATGATATTGGATGCCCTTTCACATTCTAGTCATTCAAGTTTGAAGCAACTGCATAAAGAAGTCTCTTGACCTGAACTTCTTGGTTTGCACTTCACACTTCTGATGCAGAACTCCGTCTACTCCTTGACATACTCCCTGAAACTTTCCAACTCCCCTTTAACCATTTTCATTAAAAAATAGAACCACCTTTAATAAAATGTTATACCTTTCTTCTTTTAATATGATTTCTTTGGTTAATTTATGACTGGTATTTGGATTTTTTCGTGGCTTACATAGCATGTCTGGCACAGGAAGTGCTAGTAAGTGAGGTTTATGTTTGTGAGTTAATGAAATTGACAGCATTAAGTAGAGCACTTGTTATTTTATATTTTTGAATCAACCGAGAGTAAGTTGGCAGTGGTGAATTTCTCTCGATGTCATGAAAAAGACACTAAAAGTTACTATAAGAATAAAATACACTATTTTAAGTGTAAGTAAGAACAAAGCTATTTTTACTACTAAACTGAATGTTGAACAGAAATAGAATCTAGAAGAATTATCTGGAAAAATTAAAATTTCAGTAGTGCCACCTAAGATACTGAAATATTCTCCTAGCATTTTTAGAAACTAGAGGGAATTTTCTGGAAAAGGAGTAAGAGAAAGCGGTGAAGTCTATAACTTTTGATTCCCCCATGTAATACTTATTCTTTAGTTATTTCACATTTTTATTTTAGAAGTAACATTATATTGAATTTTTAAGATTATTTGCTTGTATCTGCATATGTGAGCTGGAGCGATTACACATTAGGTAGGGTGTTTGCCTTGCATGTGGCCAACCCAGGTTTGATTCCTCTGCTCCTCTCGGAGAGCCCGGCAAGCTACCAAGAGTATACTGCCTGCACAGCAGAGCCTGGCAAGCTCCCCGTGGCATATTCAATGTGCCAAAAACAGTAACAAGTCTCACAATGTAGACATAATACTGGTGCCCACTCGAGCAGATCGAAGAACAACAGGAGGACAGTGCTACAGTGCTGCATATGCATGATATAGAAGATGGTTGGGGTGATTTGAATGTAATTTCCACTTTTGGCTAAATTTTTATAGATGTACATATAGATAATAGATTGGCATTATCTTCTTCAGATGGAACCCCGATGACCATGAGCCTGCAAGCAGGCACCAGGACATTCTTTCCAAACCGTGCGGCCACATAAGTGGCTGCGTGACATCTCCTTATATACAAAGTGATCAATGGAAAGTAAATCATCCAACGTTTCTCCCTGAAAATCAGACTTAACTCTTTTGCAAACCACAACACCCAAAAGGAGAGAGAGAATGGAGGGAAATGCCCTGCCACAGAGGCAGGGTGGGATGGGGGGTTGGGGGATGGGAGGGATACTGGGATCAGTGGTGGTGGGAAATGGGTGCTGGTGAGGGATGGGTATTTGAAATAAATAAAAAAATAATAAAAATAAATAAAATTAAAATTATGCTACCTCAAAAAATAGATTGGCATTATAATGATTAGTAAATGATAATAGACATCATCTTAAAGTATCTCCTTTCAGAAAAGACATTTGAGACCCTGGTTGACAGAATATTTTGAAGTAGAAAAATCCAAGACTGAGTTTGTTGGTTTGTTTTGGTTTGGGGGCCATACCTGGTGGTGCTCGGGACTTACTCCTGGCTCTGTGCTCAGGAATCACTCCTGGTGAGCTAAGGGTACCATATGCAGTGGAGGAATTGAACCTAGGTAGGCCATGTGCAAGACAAGTGCCCTATCCACTGTAGTATTGTTCTGGCCCTATCTTTTTTTTTTTTAGAGTTTCTTGTATAAAAATATCTTATTCTTAAGTCCATTAGAAATACTACTTTTATTTTATTAACTATATCATTACTTTCACTGGAACTTTTACAGACCAGTATCAGTCATTAGTAGAATAGGTATTGATCTATGTTCAGAGGACTTTTGGTGGGCATTACTTATGAATTGTTACAACTGGGACTGGAGTGACTATGCAAGGGTTAAGGTGCATGCTTTGAATGTGGTTGATCCCAGTTCAACCCTGGGCATCACATATCCTGTGAATACCAATGGATTGATCCCTGGAGACCCCCAGGCACCACCAGGGTGACCTAGCATCACCGCATCCTCTGTATTGAACCTTCAGCCTGGATGACTAAGAATCACTGGAAGTCCCACTCCATTCTCCAAACACATAATTCCTTTTAAAAAACATTCTGATTTTTATTTCTTTGCAGGTATGTTTCACTGATCAATAATTTGTTTTTACTTAAAAAAAAGACCTAGTAATTTGTTTTTACTTAAAGGATGTATTTCCTGTTGTTCTTTACAATAACAATTAGCTAAGCAGATACTGCTTTGCTTATCTCTCAGTGGTGAGCCAGCCTTTGGTTTACAACAGTGAAGCTTTATTTTTGTTTGCTTTATCATCTGCCCATTGGACTTAACTCCTGCTCTAAATTACTTTCTTTTTCCCACCCCACAGCTCTGACTCCTCTTACCAAGATCCCAGTGTGAATTCTGTCTCCCATGTGATTTCCCAGTTTCAGCCTTTACAACTTATGTTTGTAAGAATAATTTCTAAAATGGTTTGCATCACAGATTGCGCTTTACAGGAACTGTGAGGACTGCATAAAGCTTGATTTTCTGCCAGTTGCTCAAGGTTTGCCCTTGGGCTCTGTTGAATATGCTAACACCACCTAATGTCATTTATTTTAAGCAGATGAATAAACCTTAAATTTCAACTCTAAACTGGAATCATGTTTTATAACACCATACAGCTTTTATGCATGTGTGTTTCAGTTCTGCATGATTTATTTAATAAAATAGAGCCTATTCAGAAAACTTGAAAAAAATAATATGCTGTGTGTAAGCAGATACCTTTTTCAGTTCATAGATGCACCATCTCTGTTTTCTGCTTTTCTATGAGAGTGGTACCTTGATGAGTCTTTGCTGTCACCTTGCCTTTTTGTAGGGAGGGAATCAGACAGCCACAGTGATTGCATTGTGTTCCATGAAGGATTTCAACTTGGCACAAGAGACCTGCCAGTTGGCAATCAGGGATGTTGGAGGTCTTGAAGTTTTAATAAACTTACTTGATACAGATGAAGTCAAATGTAAGGTAAGTGGTTTTGTCACTGTGTGTGAGAAACTTTGTTCTTTCTTGTGGCTAGCCTCTTGGTCGGGCTGGAGCGATAGCACGGTGGGTAGGGTGTTTGCCTTGCACACAGCCAACCCGGATTTGATTCCTCCACCCCTCTCGGAGAGCTCGGCAAGCTACCAAGAGTATCTCGCCTGCACGGCAGAGCCTGGGAAACTCCCAGTGGCGAATTCAATATGCCAAAAACAGTAACAACAAGTCTCACAATGGAGATGTTACTGGTGCCCGCTCGATCAAAGTTATGAACAATGGGAGAACAGTGCTACAGTGCTACATCCTCTTAGTCACTAAGGAAGTGCTGGTCTTGTCACCTGTTTTTTGTTTGTTTGTTTTCTGTTTGGGTTTTTGTTGTCTTTCTCTGCTATTATTACTGACAGCTTCATATCATTAACTACTCTTCTTTACTCTGAACTTCTTTCTATTCTGGCTCTTTCTCATTCTTCTAATTGGTTGATGAATATTTATTTACATAACTGAAGAAAATATGGGGGATATATGTAACACCTGAGAAGAGGAAGTGTTTGCCTAAAAATAAGCTTCACTGGGGATTTTAAGTCACTGTCACTGTTCTCCTGTTGTTCATCAATTTGCTTGAGTAGCCCTGGTAACGTCTCCATCATGAGACTTGTTGTTACTGTGTTGACACATTGAATACATCATGGGTAGCTTGCCAGGCTTTGCTGTGCAGGCGAGATACTCTCGGTAGCTTGCTGGGCTCTCCGAGAGGTGCAGAGATGTAAAGAAGGTTAATGGGGCCTGGAGCAATAGCACAGCAGGTAGGGCAGAGCACTAGCACAGTGGGTAGGGTGTTTGCCTTGCAAGTGGACGACCCAGGTTCGATTCCCAGCATCGCATATGGGATTTTAAATACACTTGGAATTTTTAAAACTGTAACATTGATCATATATCATGCACTCTATACAATTTTCCTTTCTGATTTAGATCGGTTCATTAAAAATCTTGAAGGAAATCAGTCACAATCCTCAAATCCGACGTAATATTGTTGACCTTGGGGGCTTACCAATTATGGTCAACATACTTGATTCTCCACACAAGAGTCTGAAATGTCTGGCAGCTGAGACCATTGCAAATGTTGCCAAGTTTCGACGAGCCAGGCGAGCGGTGAGACAGCATGGGGGCATCACCAAACTGGTGAGTACCTTGAGGTCCTTGCCAGCATGCCAGCTTCCTTGGGTGTTGGCTCCCTGCATTCAGTCCTGGATAGTAAATAACAAAAGGGTGTAGTCTGGGAATCTTGAGGTTCTTTAGACATGTTCTTGACACTGTTTTTGATCATTTGCATTTTTGGCAAGTAGCTAAACAATATTTCCCCCTCCTTAAAAAATTGCACACATTTCAAATATAGTTGTCATTTTTAACTTGTGTGTTAGTAGAAAAACTTTTGCCTGTGTGTGCCTTGTTAGGCAGGAGGTGGTGAGACCCAGGATAGTAGAAGCAGGTCTGACCTTCTGATGTCTGACTCCAGGATGAGGACCATCCCCTAAGAACACAGAGCAACAAATATTTGTTCATCTAGTCACCATTTTCTTTCTTTCTCACTTAAATGATAATATGAGCAATACAATTATTTGGAACACACACACACAAAAATAATTCAGCTTAACAGTATTATATATTGAAAGTCTATTTAGTTACAAATCTATATTTCTCTTACATGAAATTATAGGATTTAAAATAATTTATTGGGAGCGATAGCACAGCGGATAGAGCGTTTTCCTTGCATGCAGTTGACATGGCCAACCCGAGTTCGATTCCTCCGCCCCTCTCGGAGAGCCCGGCAAGCTACCGAGAGTATCTTGCCCGCACGGCAGAGCATGGCAAGCTCCCCATGACGTATTCGATATGCCAAACACAGTAACAAGTCTCACAATGTTACTGGGCCTGCTCGAGCAAATCGATGAAAATGGGAGGACAGCAAACCTTTAATAATTCCATGACAGTTTTTTTCATTCACTTATCATCATTGATTTGCCATCATAGGAAGTTCAGAAATCATGGGAAGTTCATTGTAGGAAGTTCACCAAAATCATAGGAAGTTTAACAAAATTCCAGTGCCATTCCACAACCCAATTCCCCTTTTCTCATGCTTTTACTCCACTACCCTTTTCCCACCAGTATCCACAATAGTTTTTACTGGCACTAGGAGTTATCTTTGTTGGGTTTTTTTTTTGCCAGTTTATTTATATTCCACATATAAATAAAACCATTTATTTCACTGAGTATAATCAATTCAAGATCCATCTATTTTGTTCCAAAAGGTACAATTTCATCTTTTTAATGACAGAATATATATATAATATACATATATATCATATATATCACATCTCTTTTATTCATTCATTTGCTAATTGTCATTTAGAATTATTCTGTGCTTGGGCAATGGTGAATATGTTACTGTGAACATAGAGATGCATATGACATTCAAATGAATGTTTTTTAGACTCTTTGAATGAATGTCTAAGAGTGTATTGTTGAATGATATAAAGAATTTCCTTTTTTTAAAGAACCTAAAAAACTATTTTCCCTAGCAGCTGTACCAAATTATATTCTCACCAACAGTGTATCAGTTTTATTTTTCCCTTTTAATCGTCACTAACAATTGTTTCTAATCTTTTCTTTTTTTTACTGCAAGAGTACTGCTATTTATTCAGCCATTGATTAAGCTGATTGAATTGGGCATGATCTCCACTGTTTCTAATCCTTTTGATAAAGATCTCTCTCCCTGGGGTGAGGTTATACCTATGATCTATATTTTTGAAGATTTACCTAATAAATACAGAAAATATTCTGGGAATAAATATGCACAGTGGTTCACTGGTATTCTGTGAAATGTTTACCAGTTTCTTTTGTATTTTTTATAGTTGTCAATTTGTTTATAAGCATTGATTTTATAGTTAGAAAAATAATTATGGCAATTACTATCACTGAAAGAAAAAAGTGAGCTTTTAACTATGCCTTTGATGTAGCAGGACAAACCCTTAAAGTGCATCGTGGAAATGCAATGTCATTGTCCTTGGTGTAAATCTCTTTGCCTGTCAGCATATGTCACATTGGGCTGTTGCTACTTCTGCACTTTTAAACCAGAGATATCTTAGTGTCGTCCACAATTTTTATATAACCATAACATATGAAGGGTCAATAAATATTTAATAGTCACGGTCACGGTCCTCCCGTTGTTCATGGATTTGCTCGAGCGGGCCCAGTAACATTGTGAGACTTGTTACTGTGTTTGGCATATCGAATACATCATGGGGAGCTTGCCAGGCTTTGCCATGCGGGCGAGATACTCTCGGTAGCTTGCCGGGCTCTCCGAGAGGGGCGGAGGAATCGAACTCGGGTCACCCATGTTGGCTGCATGTAAGGCAAATGCCCTACCTGCTGTGCTATCACTCCAACCCATTTTAATAGTATGGATTTTAATATCAACATTTACACTGCAAAATGTGTTCAGAAATCTAAAAGAGATTCTGTGCATTCAGTTATAATCTGTAGAGCACCTTAACATGTAGCTATTTTCTACATGTTTTCTATATTTTTCTACATGTTTTCTATAATTTCTACTTATTTTCTATAACAATAAATGAGCTATTGCATATAAAGATGCTTATATAAATATGTGATCAAACAAATATTAAAGTGAAAATTTAGAATCTTGGTGGTGGCTAAATATGTTTCAGTATATAAAGTCTTTAAGCCTTGGTGGATGCTTAAAATGTTTCACAAGAAGCATTCTGAAAGTACACTATAGGCCAAACATGATTGCCACTCATTGCCTCTTTTGCAAACCACAACACCCAATAGGAGAGAGAGAACAAAAGGGAATGACCTGCCACAGAGGCAAGGTGGGACGGGGGTAATGGGGGGTGGGAGGGATACTGGGATCTGTGGTGGTGGGAAATGTGCACTGGTGGAGGGATGGGTATTTGATCATTGTATAATTGAAACCCAAGCACAAAAATTTGTAAGTCTATAACTGTACCTCATGGTGTCTCACTAATAAAAATTTAAAAAAAGAAACATGTTCACTAAATTTGAAAAAAAAGATTCACAAAATCATATAGTATTTCACAAAACTCACTATAATTATTACTGTGACTCATGATTCTGTTTAAATAATGAATTATTTGGAGGACCACAGTGACTAAAATGTAAGTTATAATAATTATTTTTTGGAGGGGGTCACACCTGGCGATTCACAGGGGGTTACTCCTGGCTCATGCACTCAGGAATTACTTCTAGTGGTGCTTGGGGGACCATATGGGATGCTGGGAATTGAATCCGGGTCAGTCGCATGCAAGGCAAATGCCCTACCCGCTGTACTACTGCTTAAGCCCCAATAATTTTTTAACATGGAACTGAAATATGTGGAGCTGTAGAGTCCACGTTTAGTCCTCAATACCCCATATGTTTCTTAAGCTCCACTAGGAGTGACCCTTGAGCTCAGAGCTGGGAGTAAGCCCTGGGCACCACCAGGTCTGACTCAAACCACCCCACTCCCATCAAAACCCCAAAACCAAAAACCAAAATATCTTAAATGTTTTATGGAATCATGTTAAAGGATTTAAAATTTGACCATTTTGCTAATCTGGTCAAAATAATGATGCCTGTTTTTTCAAAGATGCCTATTTAAACAAAATAATGATGGCCATTTTATTGATTTATTATTGAATCAGTGACATACACAGTTACAAAGTTGTTCATCATTAGGTTTGAGTCATATAAAGTTCCAATACCTCTCCCTTCAATAGTGTATATTCCCCATCACCAGTAGTCCCAGTTTCCTTCCCCAAACCCTCTATGGCATGCACCTCTCTCTCTCTTTCTTTCTCTCTCTCTCTCTCTCTCCCTCTCTCTCTCTCTGCCCCCCCCCCCCTCCTTTTGGGTCTTAGGGTTTGAAATACAGATAATGAAAGGCTATCAGGTATTTCCCTTTACCTACTTTCAATACTCAGTTCCCGTTCAAAATGATCATTTCTAACTTTTATTGTCATGCTGGTTCCTTCTCTATCCTAACTCCCCTTTGCAGCTCCTAGTCGTCCTGGCCCCGGTTTACCCTGGTCTTGGATATTATTAGTGATGCCTATTTTAATATAATTCTAAATTACAACTAAATTAGGATCAAGGAATATTCAATGGTGAATAAATCAATAATATATTTAATTGGTGGGTTGAGAACACATTTAGGAATCTGTTTTTTGGCCTGCTTGGGATGGGGTGGGTAGGTGGTAGGCGAACAACATTGGTCTGGAAATGAGGGGGTTACCTAATACAGAGATAGAGAAATTTGAAGAAACTAAGCCAAGGATCAGAATCTGAGGAGAGCACTGGCTAGGGTGAATCCAGATGTGGAGACGGAGGTCAGTGCCTGGAGAGGTGTAATTGAGGGAGGAAATGGGTAGCGCTCTAGAAGTCTGGACAGTCAGAATCAGTACATCCAAGCCGGGGAGCAGTGCCAGCTCCAGTACCAGCTATTACTCTCCTCTCTCTGCATGGTGCACTTGGTCTCATCTCTCAGACCACTTCAGACATTTCTGGAACTGTGTGCTAGGTCCAGAACCCAGGTGGTGGTGATATACATATAATGTAAATACACACAAATACTAATGGTGTCTTTCTGTTGTCAGACTGTGGTGCTGGGGGTGTGGAAAGCAAAGAGTTAGAGAGAATGGATAAGATTAAAAGTGCATCTGTTTTCATATAGACAAAATATAAGCCACAGAAGTCAGTTCTGGGAATAGTGGAAGATCAAAGGAAGAGGTGATGGAGGAACCCTGATGGAGGAGGAAGGTTGGGAAAGAGAAAATGTTGCTTTTGTTGTGCACCCACTTTTAATATGTGAGTGGGTGCCAGCAAACACCCCCTGGAAAGGCATTTTAGGAGGATGAAATTCTTACCCAGAAGAGACTAGTAAAGGCTCAGAGTTGGGGAACAGCATTTAGTGTTTGGAAACTACCAGTGTTTAATGTGGCTGACTGGCCTCACGGGACAGGTAAGGAGCCAGTCCATCTCATCCCCCAACCCCAATGGTACTCTGATATATGTTCATTAACTGGTCCTGGCTACTTATTAAGCTCCTAAGTGGCCATGATCCAGAGACACACAGAACCGAGCAGCTCGCTGCAGAGATCTTTCCAGATCCTAATTATTGAAATTGTAGAATTTCATTATATGCTATTCATAACAAGCAATACAAAACAAATTGTCTAGCATTGCCTTTTTGGCAGGTTTGAGTGATGGTGGAAAAATTCCAAATAATGGTGGGACTGGTGCCGAAAAATTAAATGTACTCAAAGTAGAGAGAGAGTATTGTGGAAATTGTCTGTCACACAGGCAGGGGAAGGGGTGGTAGGAAGGGGGATACTGGGAACATTGGTGGTGGAAAATGTACACTGGTGGAGGGATGGGTATTTGATCATTGTATGACCAAAACTCAAACATGAAAGCTTTGTAACTGTACAGTGATTCAATTAAAAAAGTAATAATAATGTGGCCTGATGTAGGGTAAGAGGGAGTAGTGAGAGATGAGCTGGAGGAACAAGTCATCACACAGGGCCTCATGCACAAGCTACAGAATTTTGATGTTCTGTAGAGAATGAGAGAATATCTGTGATAAAAATTTGGGGGGTGCGAGCCTTGGATTCAGACTCATCATACAACTTCTTTCCTGTATTGCTGGGCCATTGCTACATGGTACCAGAAAGCTATGTGATGCCCTCCTGCCCCCTTTCTTCTGGGGTTGTAATTTGACAATAAATGTCTTTTCTTCCCTCACAGTGCTCTAAGTAGGAATCACAGACACTTAGTCTTGGAAAATGCCACCTAAACTTAGAATTGGAGATCATGATTATCTGGATAGCAAATATAGAATTTGTTCTTACGTTCTCATAAAATTCTAATAAATCTAGGAAGCCTATATTTTAGATGCCAGGGATTACAATATATTTCTCAAATATCACTAAGATAAATATTAGTGTCAATTAAGAAAATATAATTCTTGGGTCTGGAGAGATCCAACAGCAGGCAGGGTGCTTGCTTTGCACCGGGCCAACCTGGGTTCAATCCTGGCATCCCAAATGCCTCTCCAGCCCCACCAGATTTCATCCCCAAGTGCAGATTCAGGAGTAATCCCTGAGCACAACTGGCTGTGGCCCCCACAAATAAGACATAAGACGAAATATAATCCTGGAATGAGATTAAAATTATGGGGGTGGAGTGAGAGTAATAACTCCAAAATCTGAAGGAAGGTGTTTGGAAGCATTTTGTCTCTCAGCTTTGACTGTTCTGCAGTATAAAGTTCATTCTAAAAATGTTTTCTTGTCAAGTAGGGGGAAGAAGTCATATTTTAGACACAAAAGATATAATTACTGCAATAGGGTTCAAGTACAAAATAAAATTTGATGCAATATGTTCTAGATGCCATATTGAAAATTTAGCTATGTAGATGATTACACTTGAATAGATGTGGCTCACTGCCAGCAGTTTCTATCTTTGTTGTCTACGCACCAACATCCAATTATGGTGAAGAGGAAATTAAGAAGTTCTAAATGGAGCTGGAGAAGTTCTATAAAGAAGACCGCACCTTCTACAAGATCATTGTCGGTGATTTAAATTCCAAGATAGGACCGAGAAGATCAGCTGAAGAACTCCACATCGGGACCCATGGCCTTGAATGGAACAAACAGGGTGAGAGACTGTCTGAGTTCATCATGTCGACCAAGACCATCAATAATAACTCACAATTCCAGAAGGCCAAATCTAAACATTGGACATGAGAGTCTCCCAGTGGATGGTTCCACAACGAAATTGACCACATCATATTCAATCGCCGGTTTTGCCTGACTGATGTCGCTGTTATCCCAAAATTCCAAATGGGATCGGACCACCGTCTCCTTCATGCAAAATTCTACTTCACAGAGCAGGGAGAAAGGGCTGCAAAGTTTAAGAAGAGAACTCCACAGAACGACCACCAACTGGGAGCTCTTTGGCTCTGTTGTGGCAACATGTTAAGATGCCGTCAGAGACAACATTGATGAGGAATACAATTGACTGGTTAAGCACCTCCATAATTGTGCAAGGAATGCCAAGAGAGAGATAACCACAAAAAAATGCCTGTCTTCGAAAACTCTTGAGATTATTCGCCAACGTGGCTTGGCGCATACCTCAGGGAACCACAAGTGAATGTCCAAACTCGCAAAGCAGTGCAGAGAAATGATGAAGGAAGACCTCAAAGAGATAAGAGCAGCAATGCTGGTAGATGCAGCAGAAGCCTGGAAAAGCATTTGTAATGCCCGCCTGTCCTTCACCAACTACAGGACCAAGATGACTGCCCTCCAATGTCCTGATGGATCTGTCACATCTTCCAGAACTGCAATGGAGAAGATTATCCATGACTTCTACTCAGATCTCTTTAATAGCCACGTCCACTTGCCCACATAGCAAATTCCGCAGATGGATATGTCGTTCCCAATGTTCTCCCTTCCAAAATCTGACATGTCATTTCTTCAGTAAGGAAACAAAGAGCACCTGGCCCAGACAAGGTCAGACCTGAACACCTGAAGAACCTACCGTCAGTACTCATCAATACACTGGCTCGGCTCTTCACATGCTACCTGTCTGAATGCAAGGTTCCGTCCCAGTGGAAAACCAGCAGGACTGTACTACTATACAAGAAGGGAGACATCCACGATATTGGAAACTATTGCCCGATCTGCCTATTGTCTGTTATCAACAAGCTGTTCACTTGAGTCATCCTGAATAGGATTGGCAGAACACTAGATGAAGGACAACCATGCGAGCAAGCCAGGTTCCGCAAAGGATTCAGCACCATCGACCATATCCACATGAAAACCAAGTTCATTGAGGTTTCTCGGGAGTTCAAGATGCCACTCTGTCTAACGTTCATTGATTTAAAGAAGGCCTTTGATTCTTTTGAGACGGAAGCGGTCATAGAAGCCCTAGCCAATCAGGGTGTTCAAACTCAATATATCAGGATCCTCCGTGAGCTGTATTACGGATTCACTACTAGGATCTCACCATTCTACAAAGAAATAATCATCGATGTCAAGAGAGGGGTTCGGCAGGGTGATACTATTTCACCAAAACTCTTCAGTGCTATCCATCCTTGAGAACGTCATGCGACAACCGGAATGGGAAGGAATGGGAGTGAAGATAGATGGTTGGCAACTACACCACCTCTGCTTTGCTGATGACATCGTTCTACTAACACCAAACATCAGGTAAGTGGCACAAATGCTGACCGACTTCAACTGTGAGTGTGGAAAGGTCAGATTACAGATGAATCTCATAAAGACAATGTTCATGAGAAACAGTCTTGTTCCTGACGTTCCATTCACTCTCAATGGAATGACCATCTCCAAATGCAACACTTATGTGTACCTAGGTCGAGAAGTCAACATGACGAATGACCTGGCACCTGAGTTGCACAGGAAGAAAAGAGCAGCTTGGAACACTTTCAAGAGCAATTCGAAGAAATAACTAACAGGTCGAAGAACCTCCAGCTCCGAGCACATCTCTTCAATTCCCCTGTCTTCCTGCATTAACATACACCTCAGAAACCTGGGTCCTATGAAAACAGGATGAGAACGCTATTCGGGTTTCTCAAAGAGGAATCAGAAGAGCTATGCTTGGCAGTATCATGCTTCACTCAAATGAGAGAAAGAATCCAGCGTTCCAACCTCTGTCAACTCTCAAGAATAAGGGACGCTTTCTTGTTTGCCAAGGCATCGAAAATCAGATGGGCTGGACACGTAATGAGATTTAGAGATGACTGCTGGACTAGAGCCATTACCGACTGGATTCCATGGGACGTCAAAAGACCGCGTGACTGCCCACCTACGAGATGGTCAGACATCTTCGTCAAGACCCTGAACAATTGGTTTCAGTCTCTTCGTGTTCCTAGAACGAGCAGATGCCATTGGGCAATGCTAGCACACAACGGGGATGAATGGAGACGTTACTGGTGCCCGCTCGAGCAAATCGATGAGTAATGGGATATCAAGTGACCAAGTGATCAAGGTGAGAAGAGCCCTCTCGGAATGCCCAACAAGCTACCGAGAGTATCCCGCCTGCATGGCAGAGCCTGGCAAGCTCTCCGTGGCATATTCAATATGCCAAAAGTAGTAACAACAAGTCTCACAATGGAGACATTACTGATATCCCCTCAAGCAAGTTGATGAACAGCAGGAGGACAGTGCTACAGGACAGTGCTACAGTTGAGAAGAGGCAGTGTGCTGTATTGTATTAAATGATTTGAATCGACTTTTGTTAGTTTAGCTTCCCATGATTCCATTTGCTGTTTCTCTAAATTTTGTTGGAGCAGCAATGTGAAATTTGTTACATGGCTGCTAAGGGGGCAGGCTAGGAGATGGCAGGGACCCTGGGGACACTGGTGGTGAGATTGATGTTGCAACAGTATAAGCCTGAAACAGCTATTATGAGCAGCTTTCTAAAACATGTCATCTTAATTTAAAGCAATTAAAATGTGAAAAAAATTTTCTTTACTTTTGATACAGTTGAACTTAGTACCAACCTTGAGCTATTGCAAGATGGCATTTTTATTTTCAAGACCTGATGTGCATTGTACCTGTTCTTGTAGGTGTCTCTATTGGACTGTGGGCATAGTCACGCAGAACTGACTCAGTCAAATCTGTACGAGACCAGAGATGTGGAGGTTGCCCGCTGCGGAGCACTGGCTCTATGGAGCTGCAGTAAAAGTTACGCAAACAAAGAAGCCATTCGGAAGGCTGGGGGTTTCCCTCTCTTGGCTCGGCTCCTGAAGACTTCCCACGAGGACATGCTAATTCCAGTGGTGGGGACCTTGCAAGAATGTGCATCAGAGGTGTGCAATTGGTGATTTCTCTTGCTGACATTGACCATAGTATTCTTTAGTCACAAAATAAGTTTTTTTTAATTTTATTAGTGAAACACCATGAGGTACAGTTGTAGACTTACAAATTTTTGTGCTTAGGTTTCAGTTATACAATGATCAAGTATGCATCCCTCCACCAGTGCCCATTCTACACCACCAATGATCCCAGTATCCCACCAACAGTCTCTGTGGTTGTGTGATGATATCTCATTGTTGTATTGATCTGCATCTCCCTGATGATTAATGATGTAGAGCATTTTCTCATGTGCCCTTTTGCCATTCGGATTTCTTCTTTGAGAAAGTTTCTGTTAGTTTCGTCGCCTCATTTTTGATGGGGTTGGATGTTTTCTTCTTGTGGAGTTCAACCAGTACTTTGTATATCCTTGATGTCAACCCTTTGTCGGATGAGTATTGGGTGAATATCCTTTCCCAAACTGTAGAATGTCTTTGTATTTTGGTCACTGTTTCTTTTGAGGTGCAGAAGCTTCTTAGTTTAAGATAGTCCCATTTGTCTATCTCTGTTTTCACTTGCTTGGCCCTTGGCTGACATCTTTGAAGATACCATTCGCTTCAATGTCGTGGAGGGTTTTGCCAACCTTGTCTTCATTGTACCTTATGGATTCTGGTCTGATGTTGAGATATTTAATCCATTTTGACCTTACTTTTGTACATAGTGTTAGGAAGAGATCTGAGCCCATTGTTTTTCATGTAGCTGTCCAGTTTTGCCAGTACAATTTGTTAAAGAGGCTTTGCTTGCTCCACTTCACATTCCTTGGAATCCCTTAGCAAAGACTAGATGATCATATGTTTGGGGTGAGGTGTCAGTATATTCAGCCCTGGTCTGCAGCTCTGCCTTTGTTCCAGTACAATGCTGTTTTAATTATTACTGCTTTGTAGTAGAGTTTGAAGTTAGAGAGGTTGATTCCTCCCATTTTCTTTTTCCCAAGAATTGCTTTAGCTATTCATGGGGGCTTATTTTTCCATATGAATTTCAGGAGTGCAGTGCTCCATTTCTTTGAAGAATGTCATGGGTATCATTATAGGGATCACACTGAATTTGTACAACGCTTTGGGAAGTATTGCCATTTTGACAGTGTTAATTCTCCTGATCCATGAGCAGGGGATATCTTTCCATTTTCTCATGTCTTATTTTATTTCCTGAAGTAGCATTTTGTAATTTTATTTGTAGAGGTCTTTTATGTCCTTACTTAAGCTGATTCCTAGGTACTTGATTTTCTGGGGCACAATTGTGAACGGAATTGTTTTTTTTTTTCATGTCTTTTCCTTCTCTCTCACTATTTGCGTATTGGAAAGCCATGGACTTTTGGGTATTGATTTTATAGCCTGCAACTTTATTATACAAGTCTATTGTTTCTAGGAGTTTCTGGGTAGAGGTTTTAGGATTCTCAAGTATAGTATCATATCATCTGCGAATAGTGAGAGCTTGATTTCTTTCTTTCCTATATGAATGCCCTTAATATCTTTTTCTTGCCTCACCGCTATTGCAAGTACTTCCAGTACTGTATTGAACAGCAGTGGAGAGAGTGAGCATCCTTCTCTCATCCCTGATCTTAGAGGGAAGGTTCTCAGTTTTTCCTCGTGGAGGATGATGCTTGCTGTAGGCTTGTGGTAGATGGCTTTAACTATACTGAGGAAAGTCCCCTCTATCCCCATTTTGGCGAGGGTTTTCATCATAAACGGGAGCTGGATCTTGTCAAATGCTTTCTCTGCATCTATTGATATGATCTTATGTTTTTCCTTTTTTTTGATATGATGGATTATGTTGATTGATTTCCAAATGTTAAGCCATCCTTGCATCCCTGGTATGAATCCTACTTGGTCATGGTGTGTGATCTTTTTGATGAGTTGTTGCATTCTATTTGCTAGTATTTTGTTGAGAATCTTTGCATCCATGTTTATCAGGGATATCGGCCTGTAGTTTTCTTTTCTTTTGGTGTCTTTGTTTCCTTTTGGTATTAGAGAGATACAGGCTTCATAGAAACTGTTTGGGAGAGTTTCTGTTTCTTCCATTTCCTGGAAAAGCTTGAGAAGAACTGGCAATAGGTCCTCTTTACATGTTTGGAAAAGTTCACTAGTGAATCCATCTGGACCCCAGCTTTTGTATTGGGGAAGACTTTTGATTACAATTTCAATTTGCTTGATGTTAATAGGTCTATTCAGGGATTCTAGATCTTCTTGATTCAGCCTTGGGAGATTATAGGAGTCCAGGAATTTATCCATTTCTTCTAGGTTCTCTTGTTTCGTGGCATACAGACTTTCAAAGTAGTCTCTGATGATCTTATGAATTTCTTTGGTTTCTGTTGTGATATACCCCATCTTATTTATGATTTGGTTTATTAGGGTTCTCTCTCTTTCTTTGTGAGTCTTGCTAGTGGTTTATCTATCTTGTTTATTTTCTCAAAGAACCAGCTCTTGGTTTCCTTGATCTTTTGGATTTATTTATTTATTTATTTATTTTTGGATTCTATGTCATTGGTTTCTGCTCTAAGTTTTATGATCTCTTTCCTTCTGCCTGATATGGGCTCCTTTTTTTGATCCTTTTCTAAGATCTTGAGTTTTAACGTCAAGTTGTTTTTGTGGGCCCTCACTTCCTTTCTGAGAAATGCTTGCAGAACTATAAATTTTACGCATAACCCAGCTTTAGCTGAGTCCCATAGTTTCTGGTATCTCGTTTCTTCATTCTCATTTGTTTCCAGGTATCTTTTGATTTCATCCTTGACTTCCTTCCTGACCCACTCATTGTTCAACATTGAGTAGTTCAATTTCCATGTGTTTGATTTTGTTCACTGTGTCTGTGCGTGATTCACTTCTATTCTCAGTGCATCGTGGTCTGAAAAGATTGTTGATACTATTTCTATCTTCCTTATTCTATTGAGGTATCTTTTGTGGCCTAGCACATGGTCTATTTTGGAAAATGTTCCGTGTGTACTGGAGAAGAATGTGTATTCTTTCTTTTTGTGCTGTAAATTTCTGGATAGGTCTATAATCCCTCTCTCTTCTATTTTTTCCTTTAAATACAATGTTTCCTTGCTGAGTTTTGTTCTTGTTGATCACTCCAGAGGTGACAAAGCGATGTTGAAGTCTCTGGCTACCATTGTGTTGCTAGCAATGTCCTCCTTAAAATTTTTCAGCAGTTGTTTTAAATATTTAGCTGTTCCTTCATTATGTGCGTATACATTTAAGAGTGTGATTTCTTCCTATTGTACATACCCCTTGATAAATAGAAATGGCCTTCGCTGTTCCTTCTAATCTTTTTCAACCTAAAATTTATGTTGTCGGATCCTATATGGCCACCCCAGCTTTTTTGAGGGAGCTGTTTGCTTGCAGGATTGCTTTCCATCCTTTAACGTTGAGTCTGTGTTTGCTCTGACTGTTCAGTTGAGTTTCAACGGCAGAATGTTGGGTTCTGTCTCTGAATTCATTTTGCCACTCTGTGTCTCTTAATTGGTGAATTTTGACCATTGACGTTGAGAGAGATTATTGTTATGGGGTTTTGTGTCATGTTCCTGTAAGTGTCTGTTGTGCTTGTAGGGTTTGTCTTGTCTTATAGTAGCCCCTTTAGTCCTTTTAGGTTTGGTTTTGAGTCTATGGAGTTCCTGAGCTGCTGTTTATCCAGAAAATAGTATATCATTCCTTCAAGTTTTAGTGAGAGTTTAGTTGGATAGAGTATTCTTGGTGAAGAGTTCATTTCAGTGAGTTTTTTCATTATATCCAACCATTGCCTTCGGCTTGGAGGGTTTCCTCTGATAGGTCTACTGTGAACCTAAGGGGTGCTCCTTTGTATGTGATTTCCTTCTTTGACCTTGCTGTTTGCAGTATTGTGCCTCTATCCACAGCATCCATCATTCTAACTATGATAAGTCTGGAGGTTTTTTTTTGGTTAGGGTCTCTTTTAGCTAGCACCCTTTGGGCTTCTTGAATCTGAATGACTGCCTTGTCCAGCTCTGGGAATTTTTCAGCAATGACTTGTTTAACCGTGGCTTTTTCATTGGAATTGTTTCCCTGACCTTCTGGTACTCCAATGATTCTTATGTTGTTCCTCTTGGAATCATCTCCTAGGACCTGATTCGCTCTAAAGCTATTTTGAGGTCTTTTGCCATTTTTTGTTGATGCCTGTTGGTTTGGTGCAGCTGATTTTCCAGCTCACTGATTCTGTGTTCAGCTGTGGCCATTCTACTCTTGAGGGCACAAACTGAGTTTTTTATTTCATCTACAGAATCTTTTATTTGTGACATTTCTGTGAGTAGCTTTCCAATTTCTGCTCTCATTTCTTCCCATAATTTCTTGATTTTTTTCATGTCCTCCTTTAATTTACTAGATATTTGTCTCACTGTTTCATTGAGTTCATTGAACACCTTCATTATTTCATATCTGAATTCTTTCTCAGAGAGGTCCCTTAGGTGAGTAGCACCTACTGAGGCTTCTGGGCTCTTTTCATTGTCCTCCCCACGTGGTGAGGATTTGCGTTGTTTCTTCATTTTGGTGTGGAGGTATGGAGACTGAGATGTTACTTGAGATTGCTGGGTACCCTGTAGCTGCGTGAGCATCCGCCTGCCCAAAATTAGGCCACACCCACATTTACAAAAGCCACACCTGCTTTAGAAGAGGCCATGCCCCTTATCGGTACCTGGTGTGTGTGGGGGTTACAACATGGGGGTGGAAGAAGACCGGCACAGCGTTGGGGATGAACAGGAAGAGGCTCAGGAATGCTGAGTGTCCCAAGGTCCTAGAGGACACCTAGGGCACATACGTGGAGAAAGCCAAGTAACGGGTTCTAATACTGACGACTAACTAACCTGGGGGAGGAAGAAGACTGGCATAGCGTTGGGGACGAACAAGAAGAGGCTCAGGAATGCTGAGCGTTCCAGGGTCCTAGAGGATGCCTGGGGCGCATATGTGGAGAAAGCCAAGTCCCAAAATAAGTTTTAAAGAGCCTGGCGATCGTGCAATGAATAGGACATTTGCCTTTCATGCGGCAAACCTGTATTTGATCCCTGGCACCCCATAAATTCCCACAAGCCTGCCAGGAATGATCCCTGTGTGCAGAGCCAGGAAACCCCTCAGCATTGCTGGTTGTGGCACAAAAACAAGGAAAAAAATTACAGTTATCATGATTACCAAAGCGTTCCCCCCTCCCCCAAGAAATTGCCTTCTATTGAAAGATCAAAACTGTAGACGTTTAAGGTTTTTGTGTGATAAACATTTTATATGGGGCCGGAGCAATAGCACAGCAGGTAGGGCATTTGCCTTACACGTGGCTGACCCGGGTTTGATTTCCAGCATCCCATATGGTCCCCTGAGCACCGCCAGGAGTAATTCCTGAGTGCAAATCCAGGAGTAACCCCAGTGCATCGCCAGGTGTGACTCAAGAAGCAAAAAAAAAACCAATCTTTTTATTGTATTTGAAGCAACGTGGTTAGAATAGTGTTGATATTAATTGTATTATAAATTACTGCGTCATCATTCTCAACACCACTCAAGTTCCTGGAATCCTCTAGTACTGACCTTGTATTAGCACTTCCTGGTCCTTGCTTTGTTTCTTTATGTACCACATACGAGAGAGATCATCTGCTTTTCCCCTCCTTCCTCTGACTTATTTCACTTCATGTGAACCCTCCCCTCCTTAACTTCATCAATGTTACAGTGAAAGGCAAGTTTTTATCTCATTGCTGAATATTATTCCAGTGTGTCTATATACCTAAATCTTTATCCTTTCACCTGTCATGACACATTTGTGTTTCTTCCTGATCTTGACTGTTGTACATGGTGCTGTTCATGAGCACAGAGATAGATTTATCTTTTCACATTGATGACGTAGTGTTCTTGGGGTAAATGCCAATGAGTGGGTTTGCTAGGTTAGCCTTTTAAATGGCGACTAATTTCACTTAGTGTTGTTGGTAGGTGACGGTGAGCTATGCTGTTTATTAAGAAAATCTGCTCAGTGTTATTAATGCAAAGAAGAACTTCTGCTCATGCACTATACACACACAAAATATTTAACCATATGTTCCTAGGAAAACTACCGAGCTGCAATAAAAGCAGGCAAAATTATTGAAAATCTAGTGAAGAACCTAAATAGTGAAAATGAACAGCTACAGGAGCATTGTGCCATGGCCATCTACCAGGTAGGTGGGATTCTTGTACAGTTGTGCAATTACTGCTCTTACGGTTGAAGAAGCGTTTCTTTCTTTCTTTCTTTATAAATTCTTTTTTTTACTGAATCACAATGGGATAGAGCATTATAAAGCCATTCATGATTGGATTTCAGTTTTACAATATTTCAACACCCATCCCACCATCAGTGTATGTTTCCCAGCACCAATGTCCCCAGGTTCCCTCCCATCACCCCCACCCTCATCCCCTGCCTCCTCTGTGGCAGGCGTGAAGCAGAATTTCTTTTTTTTTTTTGTGAGGGAAAAAGGAAGTTTTTTTTCCCCTTTATTTTATTTTATTTTATTTTTTTTTTACAGTTGTAGATTTACAATTTTTTGTGCTTGGGTTTCAATTATACAATGATCAGATACCCATCCCTCCACCAGTGCCCATTTTTCACCACCATGGATAATATCCCTCCCACCCCCATCCCCCATCCCCCCATCTCTGTGGCAGTGCAATCCCCTGTGTTCTCTCTCTCCGTTTGGGTGTTGTGGTCTGCAAAAGAGGCATTGAGTGGCAAACATGTTCAGTCCATAGTCTACTTTCGACATGCATCTCCCCTCCTGGGAGGATCCTCCAAACATCCTTTATTTGGTGCTCCCTTCTCTATCTGAACTGCCCTTTCCTCTAGGATAACCGGCTGGCCTCTAAGTTATGGAGTAATCATCCTGGTGCTGATCTCAGCTATTCTTGGGTATTAATCTCATACTTTGTTACTTTATATCCCCCAGATGAATGCAATCTTTCTATGTCTATCCCTCTCTTTCTGACTCATTTCGCTTAGCATGATGCTTTCCATAGCAATATGATCGACTGGTTCAGCACCTCCATGATTGTGCGAGGAACGCCAAGAGAGAGAGATAGCCACAAAAAAATGCCTTTCTTCAAAAACCCTTAAGCTTATTCACCAGTGTGGCTTGGCGCATGCCTCAGGCAACCATAAACGAACGTCCAAGCTCTCAAAGCAGTGCAGAGATGCGATAAAGGAAGACCTCAAAGAGAGAAGAGCAGCAGTGCTGGTAGATGCGGCACAAGCTGGGAAAAGCATTTGTAATGCCCAGCTGTCTTTCACCAACTACAAGACCAGGATGACTGCCCTCTGACATCCTGAAGGATCTATCACATCTTCCAGAAGGGCAATGGAGAAGATTATTCATGACTTCTACCCAGATCTCTTTGATAGCCATATCCACCCGCCCACATACCAAATTCCTCAGGATGGATATGTCGTTCCCAACATTCTCCCTTCAGAAATCCAACACGCCATTTCGTCGGTAAAGAAATGAACAGCACCTGGCCCAGACAAGGTCAGACATGAACACTTGAAGAACCTGCCATCAGTACTCATCAATACTCTGGCTCGGCTCTTCACATGCTACCTGTCTGAATGCAAGGTTCTGTCCCAATGGAAAACCAGCAGGACTGTACTACTGTACAAGAAGGGAGACATCCACGACATTGGCAAGTATTGCCCCATCTGCCTAGTGTCTGTCATCTACAAGCTGTTCACTCGCGTCATCCTGAATAGGATTAGCAGAACACTAGATGAAGGACAATCATGTGAGCAAGCCGGGTTCTGCAAAGGATTCAGCACCATCGACCATATCCACATGATAACCAAGCTCTTTGAGGATTCTTGGGAGTTCAAGATGCCACTCTATCTAACGTTCATTGATTTAAAAAAGGCCTTTGATTCTGTTGATATGGAATTGGCCATTGAAACCCTAGCCAATCAGGGCTTCAAACTCAATACAGCAGAATCCTCCGTGATCTGTATTATGGATTCACTACCAGGATCTCACCATTCTACAAAGAAGTGATCATCGATGTCAAGAGAGGGGTTCAGCAGGGTGATACTGTTTCACTGAAACTCTTCAGTGCCACCCTCGAGAACGTCATACAATGACTGGAATGGGAAGGAATGGGAGTGAAGATAAATGGTCACTAGCTACACCACCTCTGCTTTGCTGATGACATTGTTTTAATAACACCAAACATTAGCCAAGCAGCACAAATGCTGGCCGACTTCAACCGTGAGTGTGGAAAGGTCAGACTTTAGCTGAATCTCACGAAGACAATGTTTATGAGAAACAGCCTCGTTCCTAACGCTCCATTTGCTTTCAATGGAACAACCATCTCCGAATGCAACAGCTAGTATACCTAGGTTGAGAAGTCAACATGATGGATGATCTGACACCTGAGTTGCGCAGGAGGAAGAGAGCGGCTTGGAACGCCTTCAAGAGTGTTGAGGAAATAGCTAAGAGGATGAAGAACCTCCAGCTCCGGGCACATCTCTTTGATTCCACTGTTTTTCCTGCATTAACATATGCCTCAGAGACCTGTGCCCTATGAAAACAGACGAGAATGCTATTTGGGTCTCTCAAAGAGAAATCAAAAGAGCTATGCTTGGAGTATCACGTTTCACTCAAATGAGACAAAGAATCCGGAGTTCTGACCTCCGTTGATGATCAGGAATCAGGGACGCTGCCTTGTTTGCCAAACCATTGAAAATTAGGTGGGCTGGACACGTAATAAGATTGGAGACAACTGCTGGACTAGAGCCATTACCGACTGGATTCCACGGGACGTCAAAAGACCGCGTGGCCGCCCACCTACAAGATGGTCAGACTTCTTCGTCAAGACCCTGAATTATCAGTTGAGGCTCTTCGTGTTCCTAGAATGAACACATGCCATTGGGCTCCACTAGCACGTGACAGGGACAAATGGAGACATTACTGACGCCCACTCGAGCAAATCAAAGATTAATGGGAAGTCAAGTGATCAAGTGAAGTGATTTTATATATAAATCTCTTTTCTAATTCTCACTCTCAGAGAACCTGGCAGGCTACTGAGAGTACCATGCCCACACATATGCCTGACTGTGAACACCTGTAAAGGTGATTAGAGGCTGCCCCAAAAGCCTCCATCCCTCTCAGAGAGCCTGGCAAGCTACCGAGAGTATCCCACCCGCTCAGCAGAGCCTGGCAAGCTACCCATGGAGTACTCAATATGCCAAAAACAGTAACAATGATGGTACTCATTCCCCTGCCCCTGGAAGAGCCCCCAGTATGCCATCGGGCTATACTAGTATGTGACAGGGATGAATGGAGATGTTACTGGTGCCTGCTCGAACAAATCGATGAACAGGGTGATTGTGATAGTGATAGTGATTTTATAATCTTTAGTTATAAATAGGTTATTTATGTAGTATAAAATAGCTGAATATGTATATGATCCCTCTGTACTGCCTTTCATATAGTCTATCAACCATAATGATGATGAGAAAGTTATTTCTTACAATAAAAAGTATAAACATGGGGCTGGAGAAATAGTACAGCAGGAAGGCACTTGCCTTGCACACAGGCAACATAGGTTTGATCTCCAGCACCTTGTATGTTCCTCCAAGCCCTATCCAGGGATGATCATTGAGCACAGAACCAGGAGAAAGCCCCGAGTATCACCGTTGTGGTCCCAAAACTGATGGAAGAAAAAGATAAACATATATATGTTCATGTCTTATCTTTTAATGAATTTTATTATATTAATCTTACTTTATTTGTTGGCCTATATTTTATAGAGTGCCAGGAAAATTGGAATGGTGAAGGGAAAGAAAAGATGGACTTGAAAAATGGGTCATGGCTTTTATTAACCACACCAGCTATTAGTTAACCAGAGTATATTGCTTTTTTTACACTTAATGACCATGAGATACAGTTACAAAGTTGTTCATAATTGGGTTTTACTCATACAATATTTCACCACCTGTCCCTTCATCAGTGTTCATTTCTGACGACCAGTGTCTCCAGTTTCCCTCCTGGCCCCCTTCCCCCAGCCCATGTCTGTGGCAGACACTTATCTCTCTGTCTCTCTGTCTCTGTCTCTGTCTCTCTCTCTCTCTCTCTCTCTCTCTCTCTCTCTCCCTCCTTCTCTCTCTCCCTCTCTCCCTCTATTTCTCCTTCTCTGTACCCCTCTCCATCTTTCCCTCCTTCCCTCCCTCCCCTTTTGGGCATTATGGTTTGCAGTAGAGGTCAGAGTACACTTTTTAAAAAATTAATTAATTAATTAATTATTTTTAATTTTTATTAGTGACAAACCAAGAGGTACAGTTGTAGACTTACAAATTTTTGTGCTTGGGTTTCAATTATACAATGATTAAGTACCCATCCCTCCACCAGTGCCCATTCTCCACCACCACTCACTGATCCCAGTATCCCTCCCACCCCCCATCCCCCCATCCCACCCTGCCTCTGCGGCAGGGCATTCCCTTTTGTTCTCTCTCTCCTTTTGGGTGCTGTAGTTTGCAAAAGAGGAATTGAGTGGCAATCATGTTTGGTCTATAGTCTACTTTCAGCATGCTTCTCCCATCCTGGGGGGATCCTCCCAATACTCTTTATTTGGTGCTCCCTTCTCTATCTGAGCTGCCTTTTCCCATAGCATGTGTGACTGGCCTCCAAGCCATGGAGTAAACCTCCTGGTACTTATCTCGGCTATTCTTGGGTGTTAGTCTCCTAATTTGTTACTTTATGTTCCCCGGATGAATGCAGTCTTTCTATATCTATCCCTCTCTTTCTGACTTATTTCACTTAGCATGATGCTTTCCATGTAGTACCACTTGTATGTAAATTTAATGACTTCATCTTTTCTAACAGCTACATAGTACTCCATTGTGTAGATGTACCAAAGTTTCTTTAACCAGTCATCTGTTCTCAGGCACAGTGTAGACTTCTTAGAGGAATGATTTTCAACACATTTTTTTTGTAGATCTTATTTTTTTAAATTTTTTTATTTTATTTTTTTTAATTTTATTAGTGAAGCACCATGAGGTACAGTTGTAGATTTACAAATCTTTGTGCTTGGGTTTCGGTCATACAATGATCAAATACCCATCCCTCCACCAGTGCCCATTTTCCACCACCATGGATAATATCCCCCTCCCACCCCCCCCTCCCACCCTGCCTCTGTGGCAGGGCATTCCCTTTTGTTCTCTCTCTCCTTTTGGGTGTTGTGGTCTGCAAAATAGTCATTGAGTGGCAAACATGTTCAGTCCATAGTCAACTTTCAACATGCATTTCCCCTCCTGGGAGGATCCTCCAAACACCCTTTATTTGGTGCTCCCTTCTCTATCTGAACTGCCCTTTCCCCTAGAATACCTGGCTGGCCTCCAAGCCATGTAGCAATCCCCCTGGTGTTGATCTCAGCTATTCTTGGGTATTAATCTCATATTTTATTGCTTTATATCCCCCAGATGAATGCAATCTTTCTATGTCTATCCCTCTCTTTCTGACTCATTTTGCTTAGCATGATACTTTCCATATTCAATACTTTTAAAGTAAAAGTTAAGCAGACAGATAGGATAAGCAAAGGTGTAGAAAGCTGCATATCAGTATGAGAACATTTCTACATGTAAGTAGAGGATTATATTATTTGCAAGAGCTGCCAGAACTAGGTACCATATATAGCTTGTATATAGTCTGACTTCTTTTTGTTTGTATTTTTGTTATTTCTGGGTCAAACCAGGCACGCTGAGGGCTTACGCCTGGCTTTGAGCTCAGGGATCACCGAAGGGCTCCTGGGAACCAATATGCCAGGGATAGAAACTACTTTACCCATGTGCTATCTCTCCAGTCAAGCCTACCTTCTTAAACTGTGGGTTAAGACCCTGCCACAGGAGATCCAAATATGGGGGTTGCAAGCATCTTTAAAAAATTTATCGAAAATTTCTTATAGGTAAGCATTTTATTTGTATTCCTGTTTTATGTGAAAAACAGAGTCAGGTAAAAATTTCTTGAGCTAAAAGGGGTCAGAATTGGAAAGTTTTAGAAGCCCTGGTTCATAGGACAGACAGACATTTCCTCACAACTCTGGAGTCTGCAAACCCAAGACCAAGTTGTTGAGAGAGTTGGTTTCTTCTAAGAACTCTCCTGCTTGTAGACATGTCTCTATGCCCATGTGTCCTGCCCCTGTCTGGATACAGGACATTAGTCAAACTGTATTAGAGCACGCAAATGACCTTGTGTTGACATTAATTACCTCTTTAAACATCATATCTTCATGTTTCTTCATATTCTGATAACTTCACTATGTGAATTTTGAAGATACACAGCTCAGCTCATAATAAATATGTGTGGCTTTGAGGTATACTAATGTTTGGTTAGAAACAGAGATTAACGTTTAAAAGTTGTCATTGATGCAGAACCTAAAACCATACATTGAACACATAGAAGACAAACAAGACAGGTGCCTTTTGATGCATTAGGATGATGGTTTTGTCAGGTGGCCCTCATGGATGATTCCTTGTTGCACTGTGAACTGTTGCCTTAGAGACAACTAAATATTTAAACAATAACATGCCTATGCTAAATTAATCATCATTTTATCCTATAGCTTGGAAATGATAATCCGTTGGGATATCTATGTGTTACATATTTCAAAGAAGCACACAAATTTGTGGATAAACATGATTGAATACATTGTCAGTTCACATGACCATTGTTAAGTCCACAAAAATATTTGAGAGAATTGCTAATAATTCTTATTGCGGGGGTTATTTGGGGTCTAACTGAACAGGTCTTGAATAATTGCAGTGTTGGTCAAAACTGCTAGACATTGCCAAATGCATAACAAAGAAAGATGTCTATTGTCAGCTATAGCTGTCAGGCTACTGAAGGATAATATTTCACTTGCACATTCCTCAGAAAGTCACACTTTTTGAGAAGAAGCTCTTATATGTATTCCTTGATCATTGACCTTCTCTTACCTTATTTCTGTGTAGTGTGCTGAAGATGAGGAAACCCGAGATTTGGTTAGACTGCATGGAGGACTTAAATCCTTGGCCACTTTGCTCAATAATACAGACAATAAACAACGGTTGGCTGCTGTCACGGGGGCAATATGGAAATGTTCCATCAGCAAAGAGAATGTATCCAAGTAAGAGAAGGCATTCTACATTCTGTAGTGAGAATATGACCACCTACCCCACATTCTTGTGATTCAATGTCATTTCAATAAAAAGTCAATTAGAATGGTGCTCCTGCAATTTTCATAAAAACACATTCTGGGTTGGAGCCCAGAGGGGGTAGAACACTGCCTTGCGCTAAGCATTCAATCTGGGTTTGATCCCTAGTACCATGTATGAACCCCTGAGCTCTGCCAGAAGTGATTTTTGAGGGCAGAGCTAGGAATGAGACTTGAGCACTTGTTGAGTGTGGCAAAAAAAAGAAAAAAAAAGAAACTGACAGAATTTTTAAAATTTAGAAAAAATTTCTACTTCCTGTCCCCCAACTCACAGTTGATGGTTTCAAATGTGATTTCATCCCATTTTAAAGTTTTTGAAAATGTTTATGATCATTTGATTTATTTGATCATCAAATTCATCTCCTTAATTGTTTCATAGAGTTGACATTCTGCAATGAATGCAATGAGACAAATCTTCTTTGACCTTGTGATAATTTTCTTTACCAAGAAATTTACAGGTCTTATTTCAGACAAATTGGATTTTTGTTGTGTGAATAGCCCTTGTCACATGGAGGGAGCCCCACCAGAACAGGAAATTATTGATGAACCTCCTGAAAATAGATAATTATAATATCAATACTGTAAGACTTGTATGGTTGAATAAGCATATAATTGACATTTAATAGTTTTACATATTAATTTTATTTTACTTGCCAGCTAACTTTATACCCCAAATGATACTATTCTCCATTGTCTTTCCCCCTCGTTCCCCTTTCCTTGTGATGAACATAGATTCCGAGAATACAAAGCCATTGAAACTTTGGTGGGGCTTTTAACTGATCAGCCCGAAGAAGTACTTGTGAATGTGGTTGGTGCATTGGGAGAATGTTGCCAAGAATATGAAAACAGAGTCATTGTCCGGAAATGTGGTGGTATCCAACCACTTGTGAATCTCCTTGTTGGGGTGAATCAAGCTCTTCTTGTCAACGTCACAAAAGCAGTTGGTGCTTGTGCTGCAGATCCTGAAAGTATGACGTAAGTGACCTTAGAGATGCAATGGTTTTGAGAGTCTTAGAGAAAGGACTTGGGTAGTCTTAGAATACTGCAACCACTTAGAATTGATGTGCATGAATAATGAAAAAGTAAAATGTGTTTACACATAAGTAATGACAGGCTACTAAGTCAGAACAGAGCCAAATATACCTTTAAATGAGTAGGAGACTGAATCTTGGCATTTGAAAGCACTTAAAATACCCGGTAGTCAATTTCTCATATAAAAACCTTAATGATATCAATAATTTTTTACACTTCTAGGGAAGAAGTATCTCCAGATCTCAGGTAGTTTTAGGTAGTGTGCCTATAATTGTGCCTATAATATCCTTGTCAGATTCAGTTCTTCAAACATTTTACTATCTAGCAAAAACTGAACTGATGTGTGGAAGAGATACATTTTTAACCTGTTATCTTCATCCGTATATTCATCTTTTAAAAGGTTATTTATTTATTTAAAAATATTTTTTACAGACTTATAAACTATCATGATTATGTTTCAGTCAGACAGTGATCGAGTACACATCCTCCAACAATGTCCACTCTCCACCATCAATGTTCCCAGTATCCCTCCCACCACTCCCACCCCATTCCCTGCCTGTCTATGTGGCAGGCACATTCCCTTTTACTCTCTCTCCTTTTGAGTGCTATGGTTTGCAATACAGGTAGTAAGAGGCCATCATGTTTGGTCCATAGTCTACTTTCAACAAGTATCATTTACTTAGTGGCCTCTTCTCTTTCCCAGCTGCTTACTCCTCCAGCATGTGAGGCCAGCGTCCATGCTGTGGAGCAATCCTCCTGGCGCTTATCTCTATTATCCATGGGTGTTAGTCTCCCATTATTACTTTATATTCCACAAATGAGTGCAGTCATTCTATGTCTGTCCCTCTCTCTGTGACTCATTTCACTTAGCATGATTCTCTCCATGTTGATTCACTTATATGCAAATTTTATGATTTCATCTTTTCTAACAGCTGCATAATATTCCATTGTGTATCTGTACCAAAGTTTCTTTAACCAGTCACCTGTTCTTGGGCACTCAGGTTTTTTCCAGATTCTGGATGTTGTAAATAGTGCTGTAGTAAACCTACAAGTGCAGATGTCATTTCTACTGTAATTTTTTGCATCTCTGGATATATTCCCAGAAGTGGTATTGCTGGGTCAAATGGGAGCTTAATTTTTAGTTTTTTGAGTAATGTCCGTATTGTTTTCCCAAAAGCTGAACCAGTCAGCATTCCCAGCAGTGAAGGAGAGTCCCCTTCTCCCAATATCCATGCCAACACTGGTTGCTTTTGTTTTTTTTTTCTATGTGTGCCAATCTCTGTGGTGTGAGATGATGTCTCATTGTTTTGACCTGCATCTCCCTGATGATTAGTGATGAGCATTTTTTCCAAAAGGTATTCAAATTTCTTCTTTGAGAAAATTTCTTTTCATTTCATCGCCCCATTTTCTGATGGGATTGGATGTTTTCTTCTTGTAGAGTTCAACCAGGGTCTTATATATCCTTGTTATTTACTATTTATCAGAAAGGTTTTAGGTGAATATCCTTTCCCATTAAAATGAATATCCTTTCTCTGGGCTCAGTGGGACCCGGGAGCAGAAATCCTCTGCCTGCTTTCCCCAAATTTTGGCAACCCAGGAGTCACACCCAGAAGCCACCTCCTGCCTGCATCAGATAATCTCTTCATTGGCCACCCTCCAGAACTCACAGCTGCTTCTCCCAGAAGGGAGCATAAAATGAGGCTCCCATGACCATGCCACCAGACTCCACGCCATGCTGTTTTCACTCAGGGCACCCCAAGGGGTGCTGGGTAAGAGCCCTCCCCGCCCCAAGGGACCCAGTCCCAGCAGCCGACCTCCACTACCCAACTGCTGCCACACTCCAGGCCACTTTTCACATGCTTGGGCTGAGCCTCACATATGAGTGAACATATTTTTGGACATATCATGAGATACTCCCTACCCATTTTCCATAATTACCACACCATATTTGATGCAGTTCATACAGTAGGCAACAGATCATAGAGAAAAATATATATTTATATGTGTATATTTTATATATATATATTACTGGCACCCGCTGAAGTAAATCGATGAACAACGGGATGACAGTGATATGGTGATGCAGTGATCCTTTCCCATTCTCTAGACTGTCTGTATTCTGTCTGTATCCAGAGATATATGTATCTCGGAGAGCCTGGCAAGCTACCAAGAGTATCCTGTCTGCACGGCAGAGCCTGGCAAGCTACCCATGGCATATTTGTACATCAAAAACAGTAACAATAATGGGTCTCCTTCCCCTGACCCTGAAAGAGCCTCCAATATGGCAGCGTTAGGAAAGATGAGAAAGGAGAGGCTGCTAAAATCTCAGGGCCGGGACAAATGGAGACGTTACTGGCTGAAGTAAATCGATGAACAACGGGATGACAGTGATATGGTGATACAGTGATCCTTTCCCATTCTGTAGACTGTATTCTGGTCACTGCTTTTTTTTTTTTGAGGTGCAAAAGCTTCTGAGTTTAAGATTTGTTTATCTCTGTTTCCATTTGCTTAGTTAATGGTGTTTCATCTTTGAAGATACCTTTAGCTTCAATGTTGTGGAGGGGGGTTTTACCAAACTATTCTTCAATGTACCTTATGGATTCTGGTTTGATGTTGAGGTCTTTAATCCACTTTGATCTGATTTTTGTACATGATGTTAGGTAGATGTCTGAGCACATTTTTTTGCATGTTGCTGTCCAGTTTTGCCAGCACCATTTGTTAAAGAGACTTTCCTTGCTGAACTTTATATTTCTTGCTCCTTATCAAAGATTAGATGATCATATATTTGAGGGTGTGTGTAAGGATATCCAACCCTATTCCATTGATCTAAGGCTCTGTCTTTGTTCCAATCTTTTTTAATAATTACTGATTTGTAGTACAGTTTGAACTTGGGAAAGGTGATGCCTCCCATGTTTTTTTTCCCCAAGAATTGCTTTAGCTATTCGTGGGCACTTGTTGATCCATATCTATACTCATTCTTTAATTAGAAAGAAAAGATTTAAACATAGTAGAAGTTAACAATAAACAGATTATTCAGAGATTTTAAAGATTTTATGTATTTATATATCTCATGTACATGAGGGCAAAATATGAGGAGAGATAGTAAGAGACAGAGACAGAGAGAGAAATACAGAAAAGGTAGAACCCACGGGCATCAAATTTGTCATAGCACAGCTTTCCAGAGAAGTGTGTGTATGTGTGATGTATGTGTGTGTGTGTGTGTGTGTGTTTAATTGTATGTGTGGAGACAGGAAGGATATGTTTGTTTATACTATTTATATTGTAAGGCTGCACCCAGTCATGCTGTGAACGCTGAATAGTACCAATCACTGAACCCAGAGTCTCACACATGCAAGGCTTAAACCACATACCCAAGTTAAATTTATTTCAAGGAACTGTTTTATGCAGTGATGGAGATTTTGCAAGTCTATATTCTGAGGGGTAGTAGACTCAGCAGAGTTGCAGTTTGGTGATAGAGCTCTTTCTTTCTCTGGATGCATATTCTTTGTTTTACTAAGGTCTCAACTGATTGGAGGACGCACACTACATTATGGAGGTCAAGCTGTCTTACTTAACATCTACCATGTTAAACATTAATTTATCTATAGACACCATAATAGAAGAATGTGGGTTAATATTGAATGATAACTGGGCATTCTTGACCCCCCCTCAAATTCACACATTAAAGTAGCTAATATAAATTTACCTTCTGTCAAGTTAGCACTTCTGCATAAAACTCCCTAAGCCACAATTTCTTTATGAAGGCAATACACTAGTCTCCATTATCCATAATTTTTATTTCTATTTCCTCTGCCAGTTATAATTCGAAAATACTGTGTACAGTACTACATACAATACTACATAGAAAATATTTTTAGATAGTGGAATATAATATTAACATTTTCTCAGCATTGTTATTATTCTATTTTATTATTGTTAATCTTTTATTACTGTTATATATTGCTATGGGACTGGAGCAGTAGCACAGTGGGTAGGGAGTTTGCCTTCCACACCGCTGACCCGGATTCGATTCCTCTGTCCCTCTCAAAGAGCCTGGCTGCCAAGAGTATCCAGCCCACATGGCAGAGCCTGGCAAGCTCCCTGTGGCATATTTAGTATGCCAAAAACAGTAACAACAAGTCTCACAATGGAGACATTACTGGTACCCACTCGAACAAATCGATGAACAATGGGAGGACAGTGCTGCAGTGCATATATTGCTATAAATAATTTATAATTTAAATTTCATCATATGTACAAAAATATAGGAAACAACATATTACATTTTATAATGTTGTATTAGCCATAGTTTTAAGGCATCCATTGGGTGCCTAGAATTATTTCACAAAAAATTAAAGAAGGAGACTGCTATAGTGAAATGACACTGCTGCCTAAAACTCAGTAATTATCCTGAGTGCAGCCTAAAACATATTCGTCCTTTCCCCAGATAAGGTTACAAAATCCTTGGATGATTTTCAAGGATATGATTTCCTTTAACTTAAATACTAGATGTAAAGTTGATAATCAGGGTGTGGTCATAGAAAATACAACACAATATAGTTTATACATCTCATATCACATGGTAAGTGGATAAGTAAAAAAGATGAAGGAACTATCTATAAATATATAAATATATTTTTATAACAATACATAGCTTATGACAGTTATCTTCATTCCTATAGCTAATATTTATATTTATAGTATTCATGACTAGTATTTATAGCTACCTTCTTTCATTATTCATTCTGCATTACCTTTGCCAATCAGCCAGAATTTCAGCTTGTGTTGATTCTTCACCAGATGGCATTAACAGAATTTGCATTCATGAAAAGTCTGTACTATTTATGAGTCCAATATGAATTGGATTGCTACCATTTTCTATTGAAAATGAATTTAGTAAAAGAGGCCATGATAATCCTTGAGATATTCAAGGTATTCTCATG